AACCCACACACATCTTGCATTGTTGCCCCCTAAATTGCCACGGCGGCTTCGAATCCCACATGCGGTCGAGGCACCATCAAATCCACCCGGGATGAATTTCTATATTTATTTTGTTAAATCGCCCAGTGATCGATAGAATCCGCCAGCAGCGCACAGTATCAATAAAACGCCGTTTGTAGTGTTGCCGTTCATATTTTTATGGGATCATCATCGTCTCCTCCTTTTTGCTCTGCATCTTCCACCATGGGCAATTCCTCATCATATTTGCTCCTCTCTTTGCGCTTGATCACGGGGCCTTTTTTTCTGCCAGTGCGCTGCATCAGCGCGGCCTTTTTTCTTCGCGGGTCACACTTGAGAAAAATTGCGCCGCGCTTGGACAAGAAATTCTCCGGATCTCGCGCGCGCATTGTTGACCATCAGGTAGCAAATGTCTATGCACTTGTGCGCCCTCTCTCTCTCACTCTCCCTCACTATGTGCGCGGGAATCACAAGACATTTTTGCCACTGCTGCGACATAAATAATATCCGCGCAGCACCGGCCAGAACGACGAGGACGAGCGCGGGGTATTGCGTGGAGAGGAATTAATAAAAGGGGAGGAAGAGATGGCAAAAAATGTCCACCATTATAGGATACAATGGCAGCGCCAACATTGAAAGAATCGGTCATCATCATACAAATGATGGGCAATTGTTGAGACTCGATCGCGATACACTTTAATGCGTGATACGTTTGACAGCGACGGTAGTAAAAATCAATGTTTATTACGTGACAACTGAACGCTAGGCCGCGCACTACTCCTTGGCCGCATGTGAAATAAAATATAATTGGTTCTTGGCGCAGAGTGAGAGCAAAATGGAAAAATTAATGCTTCACCTTTGGAATACTAAGATAAATAAACCACGGCGCATTTTTCCCCTTGTGCGCGATCCGCAATAAATTCATTGACCAAAGGGATTCTCAAATACACCATTTAGCCGATTGCTTTTTTTTCCTTTTTTTACCTCCTCCTCCTCCTCCTCCTCTTTCTTCATCTTCCCAACTTTTATCCAATGATTTATTGACAATTTCCTAATTTATTGCCGCACCGCAATATACACTCACCTCAGCCACAGTGCATATTTAACTTTCTACCCCTCGATGACCAATATCTCCGCGCAGTTGGCTACCAATATTTCACTTTTTGACCACAATATCTCCCCCTTCGCACCCCGCAGGACATCCCAGTGTGCATCCTAGCACTTTATGACCCGCACAGACTTTTATTGGGGCCCCGAGAAGTCCCGGGAACTGCGTGAAATTGAACGGCACTTCTTGGAACTCTCACCATGTCATCAGAATTTGCATTTAATTCGAGGCGAATTAATATGCAAGGTCGGCCTGCCCGTCAAATAGGTCGTGCAACAGTGGGCAATAATGGGAACAAAAGGAGTCGCGCCAGACGGGAATTCACGGAATTTACACGGGTCGCAGCGTAAGAAGGGGAGATCAAGTCGAGAACAAAACCCAGAGTCTTTACAAGTTTAAACGTTCAATTGGCTCAATTGAAAAGAGTAGATTGTACTCTTTAGACCGTTACAATCCGTAGTTAGTCTTAGAAATTGATGCTAAATTCAACAATGATCACAGCTAGCTCAGAAACTTGGGGAAAACTGCAAGAAATGCTCCGAGATGAGGCAATAAGCAAGCCTTAAGAAGTCCCACAAACGCACAGATCATGAGGTGATCTAGTCAGGGCTCTCGTGGAGTGGAATGAAGATATCCGAGAATCCGAATTTCAGCGTCCAACTGCGTCTGTTTGCTGGTGTTGTGATTGAGCGCTGTGCAAAGCATGGCCGAAAACGCGATTAAACTCTTGCACGACAAAAGGTCAGAGAGTGCGGCATTTGCCGCGAGATTTATGAGGCGCCCCGGCAGGCTACTTGCATGCCCCTTGGCAAAAATTCTCCCTCTCGCCACATCCCAAATTGGCCATGGTCATCTCTCTGGCACTGTTGCAGAGAAAGAGAGAGAGAGAGACCGTTGGCGAAACTCCACGAGAGGGGTTTACAAAGGAACAGAGATGAAGAGGAGAGACGCGAAGGGCCGGAGGAGAATGAAGAAAGAGGCCAGAAAGATGACTTTTGTGGGAATGAATTGAGCAGAAGAGAAATTAAGCAACGCAACTCATGGGGAAGATTACAGGAAGAGAGCCAGCGAGCATCTCTTTATGGTGGCTGGCGGAGAGACATCATTGGAATGAAATTTAAATTGAAATCGATTTTATGAATCCACCCCGCTGAGCACTGGCGAGCAAGAAAACATTTTATGCTACCTCCCGAAGGTCTTCTCACTCCCTCTGTCCCGTTCAATTATCTCACCACGCATTGCGGCCAGCCGAATGGAAACCCCCTTCAAGATGGTCTCACTGCGTTGGCCAAATACTCTTCAAATGGGAAGAATTTATGGTGGATCTGTTCATGGTCAGAGGTTGCGGGCGACTGTTTGGCAAGGCGAACAAAGGACATGGCAACTGCCAGGAAGAGGCTTTTAAGAGAAATTTATACTCGTCTGCCATGGAAGTAATTTGCTTTGGCCATTTGTAGTCAATTTGGCTCGAAAAACCAACAACTTCCCCTTAAAAACAATAAAAACAATCTGCAGAACAGGGATTACAGCTAGACTTCCTAGAAGCGCCACCCTCATCAACCACCTGTCACATTTCCACTGGTAATATTTCGAAAAAAAATCAACCAGCAGCCAGAATCAACAAAGACCAAAGCGATATTGACTGTTTCCTCTTGCAATGTTTACTCTGTTAAAAATGCGACGAGGGAGAAGAACATTATCAAAGTAAACATGAGAAAAATATCCAATAAAGCCAAAAGCTATATTTCACCGCATTGCATTTGATCCTGGCTGCACCACACAGGCAAAAAAGGACACTCCAGCCAGAGACGGAAAGGTATACCTGGAGGCATCACTATAAAAGTTTATATTGTTTGGGAAATGACACAGAACATGGCAATAAAATAGCAGCCAACACTGTTCGGGTTCGTCGTCTTGGGCATTCAAGTCTTTCGTTTGAAATCACTTCAATTCACTACAAAAATTGTGGGTGTTTTCGGCATAATATTTTGGCACATGAGACACCTTTTGTGTCCATTTTGGTGGAATTTTTACAACACTCTTGGCTAAAATTGGTTTCTTGGTAAATAGACAGAAACATTCCATAGAAATCTATCGTTTTTCAGGATGGTTTCGCCAAAAAATTGTGAGAACTCTGGAGACTTATTTGGTTATTTGTTCTCTGGCCAGTCAATTCAGTGGTTAATCATTTACAATTAGCACATTTGAAACATTTTGTGGGGTTCATCGAGGTGAAAGACTTCAATGACGGGTCATGTTAAATTTATGCTAATAAATCCATACAAGATTGTCTCTCATATTAAGAGGAATGTCAAGGTATTTTTAAGACAAAAACTGATTCAGGAGAAATAAATAAGAATACAAAATCACAATTTGTTTAGGACCCAAAGAAAACCTCCCTGTGCAGCATGTATTAAGTGAAAAACCTCAAGAACCACTCTTCCTGGGCTGCACAGTGACAAGGGTGAAGAATCTCAATGCCGAGGACTCGCGCACTTTCTTCCGCTTTGTGTAAACAAATCGCGCGGCCCAAGGAGATGGAATGGCGATGCCAAACAGATTCCATCATCATTGTCTTACATGAATTGTGTACTCTTGGGTCTGCAGCGGACAAAAGAGTATGTTTTCATAGCTGCTGGATTGGTTGTTATTGATGCAGACACAAGCACTGAATAGTTGCCTGTCCATCCATTCATCATACAAAATGCTGGGAGAGCTGAGAGAGCGAGAGAGCATCTCTTCGGGGAATCTGCGAGAAGCAGCGTGGAATGGGAGAGAGAGGGATTGAGAAGTCAGAAGAGATATCCCTTACAAATTTTATTTATTGCTTTAGCACTACAGTCGCTTGTCCCGAGCGTACCCATGTCTTATGGGAGTCTCAAACGTCTTTCAAATGTATGTTTGAATAATGTAGCGAATTTTTTGCGCTCCACCGTTCCACCTTTCTTCCTTCTTTCTTGCTCTCCTTTTATGTACATATCCACCCATGGGTGTTACGGTTTGCGCGGCCGCGGGAGCGGGACAGAAGTCTCCCGCTCTTCTTCCTCAACCCAGGTAAGCAGCGCGCGCTATATAGGATGTGTGGTGGTATATAAGGCCATCAGAGAGCCATGCTCAACGGTATGAGTTGAAAATGTTCCATTTGTCTTTGTCACTCATAGCCCAACATTCTGGAGTATCTCGAACTTGTTATTTCACCTTCTTTTTTGCTCTCCTCAACCGCATCTCCATCTCTCGGCTTATGTACCATCGCCACCTGAGTAGTGGTGTTGAGCCTCGTCTAAACTGGCTCTCAGACCGTCATCATCATCGACACGATCATCGGGCATGGCAAAGAACTCCACACACACACTAGCGCGACTGTCGATCCGAGGGCTTTTTCACCACTATGGCCACCAGACGAAAAGCAACCGTTCAGCCGGAATCACTTCAGTCCATGAGTTGCGTTCGACGTGGAAAGAAGTGCGCGCGCGCTTCTCACATTTTTAACCACTTCTCAAGCTCCACACACACAAGATCGGCCATTGCAAGGCGAGAGAGAGGAGAGATCGCGGAAAAAAGTCGGTTTTGCCAGCGCGCGAATTGGAGCGATTTCGGGAGACGCGCGAGAAACAGTGAAGCCCCAGAGAAGTGGCCTCGGTGTGTTGCTTCTCATCATCATCATTGGATTAACTCCGCTTATCATAATCAAAACCAAATTGGATTACAAGGAGGTGCACAGAGTGGCTCTAAAGTGGTCTTAAGTGCTTCACTCTCTCGCGCAGTCGAGAGGGCCCCCAAAGAAAGGCCACAAAGTGAAAAGATGTGTTCCCGAGTGATGAATGGGGAGTACGTTAGTTGTAATTTTAATTGAGTGCGAAGAGAGACCATCAAGATGGGATCGGCTCTGATTGGGATCCTCGTGGGGACGATGTTTGGCGTGCTGGGCGCCACAATGAGCAAAAGCATGCTCTATCAGGCCCCGGATGAGTGTCGCTGGGTTGGGGCGACGGACGACGATGTGACGCTCGTGTGCAAGCTAAGGACCATCAATAGTGAGCTGGAGAACACGAATTTCAGTGTGATCCAGCCACAGAACACAGTGAGACTGAGACTTGAGTGTAGTGACGGGCTCTTCTTCCAGAGCTCCATCAATCCGGGCAGCTTCCGGGCGCTCGTGGAGCTGCGCTCCCTATCCGTTGAGTACTGCAAGCTGTCCAATCTCACGGACGGCTCATTCAGGGGCTTGAGTGCGCTGCGCAACCTCACGATCAGGACACACAATGCGGACTGGAGTGCAATGAGTCTGGATGTGGGTCGCGGTGTGTTCACGGAAGAGCTGGAGGCTCTCCAGGGACTGGACTTGAGTGATAATAACATGTGGACCATCCCCGATGGCATGATTTGCCCGCTGCGATCGCTGCAGCGGCTGAATCTCACGCGAAACAGGATCAGGGACCTCGGTCCTTTCCACCTCAGTGCCTCAATTAGCACGGTGTCGTCGAAGAAGTGCGGTTCAGCCATGCAGATGCTCGATCTCTCGCACAACAACATTGAGAACCTTCCGGCGGCCATTTTCTCCGGCCTCGGCCGCTTGTCTGAACTGCGACTGGCCGCAAATGGGATGAATTTCATCGCCGATCGAGCCCTTGAGGGTCTCATCTCCCTGGCCATTGTGGACTTGTCCGAGAACAGGCTCAGCAACCTGCCGCCCGAGCTGTTCAGTGAGGCGAAAAATGTACAAGAGATTTACCTGCAGAACAACAGTCTCAATGTTCTGGCGCCGGGAATTTTTAGTGAATTAACACAAGTGGTGGTGCTGGATTTGTCACACAATGAGCTCACGTCCGAGTGGATCAATGGGGTGACATTCCGTGGCATGAGACGCCTCGTGATGCTGGATGTGTCAAGCAACAGGATCAGTCGACTGGAGGTGACGACATTTCGTGATCTCACCTCACTGCAGATTCTGCGACTGCAGGAGAACCAGATCGAAGTGATACCGGATGGAATATTTGCCGATCTGGGAAATTTGCACACACTCGTGCTGTCCAACAATCGCTTGAGCACAGTTGAGGTGACAACGTTCCAGGGGCTGAACACCTTGTCACTCTTGTCACTGGACTACAATCGCATCGCCCGCATTGATCGCGAGGCGCTGAAGAATTGCTCAGGAAGTCTGCAAGATCTCCACTTGAATGGCAATAAATTGCACAGAGTGCCGGACGTTCTCTACGATGTGCTTCAGCTCAAGACACTGGATTTGGGCGAGAATCAAATCACAAATATCGATGAGGCGAGCTTCAGTGGCATGGTGCAGATGTTCGGACTGCGATTGACTGAGAACAGCATTGAGACGATCAAGAGGGGCACTTTTGATCGCATGGAGGCGCTGCAAATTCTCAATTTGTCACACAATAAAATACGCAAAATTGATCATGAGGCCTTCAACAAGAACACCAATTTGCAGGCCATTCGCCTCGATGGTAATCACCTCACTGACATCACTGGACTATTCACGAAGCTGCCGAATCTCGTGTGGCTGAACATCAGTGACAATAGACTCGAGGTCTTTGACTATGCCCTCATTCCCACCGGACTGCAGTGGCTGGACATCCACGCGAATAAGATATCAGAGTTGGGCAACTACTTCGAGATGGAGAATCAACTGTCGCTGAGCACATTTGACGCCAGTTCCAACAAATTGATCGATATCACCGGCAGCGCCATTCCCAACAGCATCGAAGTGCTCTATCTCAGTGATAATCTCATTTCCAAGGTGCAATCGTACACATTCTTCAAGAAGCCCAATCTCACGCGAGTGGATCTGTTCGGCAACAAGATCACCACACTCGATCCCAACGCCCTGAGAATCTCAGCTGTGCCCGAGGATCGTCAGCTGCCTGAGTTCTTTATCGGTGGCAATCCCTTCGAGTGCGACTGCAATCTCGATTGGCTGCAGAAGAGCAACACCGTAGACTCACGCACGCAGCCCAAGCTGATGGACGTGGCCAGCATTTACTGCAAGCTCAACTACAACAGAGGCAACATGTACATGCCACTGGTGGAGGCTGAGGCCAGCCAATTCCTCTGCAAGTACGAAACGCACTGCTTCGCTCTGTGTCACTGCTGTGACTTCAATGCGTGCGACTGCAAAATGGAGTGTCCCAATCGCTGTTCCTGCTTCCACGATCAAAGCTGGACATCCAACGTGGTGGATTGCTCGCGGGCGGGCTATGAGAATCGACTGCCCGACCTGATACCCATGGACGCCACGCAAATCCACCTGGACGGCAATGATCTGCAGGAGGTGTCGAGTCACGCGTTCATTGGGCGCAAGAAGTTGCGAATCCTATTCCTGAACAGCAGCAACATCAATACGCTGCACAATAGGACATTCAACGGTCTCAGGGAGCTCGAGGTGCTGCAATTGGACAACAATCGACTGACAGAACTCAAGGGATTCGAATTCACTGGCCTGCAGAATCTGCGCGAGCTGTACTTGCACAACAACCTCATTGCCGCGATAGACAATGACACCTTCAGCCACTTGACGGAGATGCGAATCCTGCGCTTGGACAACAATCGTCTCACCACATTCTACTTCGTGCATCTGCCGCAGGCGCTGACGGAAGTGCACTTGGCGGGGAATATGTGGAGTTGTGAGTGTGACTTTGTGGAGAAGATCAAGGACTTTATGAGCAAGAGTGACGTGGTGAGGGACAAACTGAGAGTCAAGTGCTCCCATACTGTGAGTGAAAATGACGTGGCGTATCCTTCGGTGAAGTTCAGATCGCGCAGGGGAACAGTGATCGATCGCAGTGTGGACGATGACCCACATGGGTTCTTTGTGCTCGCGGAAAACAGCTCCCGGATCTGCACGGGCGTGATGGAGGCTGGGAATCACAGTAATTTGACCTCCACGAAGACCATCCTCTCCCAGCCACCGCTCAACGACTACATTCCCCTCCTAGTGGCCACTCTGTGTGGCTTCGTTGTGATCATTGTCGCCATTCTCGTGATCTTCATGTTCCGCCAGGAGATGCGCGTGTGGTTTCACTCACGCTTCGGCGTGAGACTCTTCTATCGCGCCAGTGACACGGACAAGAACGAGCGCGACAAGCTGTACGACGCCTTCGTCAGCTACAGCTCCAAGGATGAGGCATTCGTGGCTGAGGACTTGGCGCCCGCCCTGGAGAATGGTGATCCTTCGTACAAACTCTGTCTGCACTACAGGGACTTTCCCGTGGGGCCCTACAGCCCCGACACCATCGTGCAGGCCGTGGAGTCCTCGCGGCGCACCATAATGGTGCTGTCGGAGAACTTCATCAAGTCCGAGTGGTGTCGATTCGAGTTCAAAAGCGCCCACCATCAAGTGCTGCGCGACCGGCGCCGCAGATTGATTGTGATCCTGCTGGGCGAAGTGCCACAGAAGGACCTGGATCCGGACATTCGACTCTACCTGAAGACCAACACGTACCTTCAGTGGGGCGACAAGCTGTTCTGGGAGAAGCTGCGCTTCGCCCTGCCGGACGTGCCCAACAACCAGAGGCGCCAGACGCCGCAGAATCGACACCAAAACACCTCCATCGCCATCCAGACGCCGGTGCAGCACTTCCGCAACCACAACGTCACGCGGCACAACAACCGCAATCAGCAGATGATGATGTCGCAGCCACTGCAGCCCATGCTGCCCTCGGCGCCCATGGATCAGGGCTCGGGTCTGCCCAACGGCGCTCGCACGGTCGCCATCCACATTTGACGGTGATGGCACGCCAGTGACGCCTGTGATGCCCTGCTAGGCCGCGACAGTGAGCAAGTGACCAGCCTTTGAGTGTGCGCGGCTAAGAACCCCGAGAGATCCCGGACTTAATTGCAAAATTGTGATATTCGCATGTAAGGTAGATTGAGAACGGAGAGTTATGAAAATCAATGAGATACGATAATTGCATTCCCCCAGATTATTAAGTAGTTAATTAATATAATAAAAATGATATTTGAATTGGGCATAAAGAGCAGCAAAAGGAATTGGAAACCATTCGATTGTGACAACATTATTAGCTGTACGCCTCTTTCTTCCCATTCACACACAGCCAACCAACCAATAACACTCGCCCATCTGCACCCTGGGCCATAACTAACCACATGATCGCATTTTCCAACACTTTATGTAAATAGTGTGCCAAAAATTGCCTGCGCGCAGTATAAATAAATGAGAAAAGACCACATGAAGTCTTTGCTGTGCCACGTGGAAATCTTAACTCCATCTTCTCAATGTAATTTCTCTGATTCTTGCATATGAAATAACGTCGAAACTGACATTGCTGGAGTACTTTTATTGACGATCAATTTAAGAAACTGAGCAGAAATTCAGGATCGAAAGAATAGAGAAAAATTTCAAATTTGTCTCCTTTATTTAATTACTTTACACTAATCAACATCATACGTAAATTCTCACTGTCAATTCACTAAAAAAAAAATCTGTTCATTCTCCATCTAAAAGCTCCATTTTACCGCCAATTTTCTCCCCGACAGACGGTCTCGCGGGATTCTCCGGGCGCAATAAAATGTTTAATGGAAATGAAACTTGCGATATTATAATTTTAAATTGCCGCCAGACTACCATCTAATCCACTGTTTCACCATCACATAAATCAGCGCGGAAAGCAGTGTGCTCGCGAAAAGAAATGCGGGCCGCTTGCACGGTATAATTACGTAAAATGAGAAGATGGAGCATAAAAAAATTCGCACAGATGCAGCAATGAAGAAAACGGGTGTTGTGATTCCAAAACATGAGAAGAGTTTCTCAATAAGACAGTCTTTGGGTTGATGCTGTGGCGGCACAAATATGGGAAATATATGCTTAAGTACACAATTGCGTGCTTGCATAAAAAAGCACACACAAACACATTGGAATATGTGATCAGATGATCAGTGAAAATCTTGACGGGAGGGAAAATTTCAACAATCAAGAATTAGCATCGTAATTTTAATGAGGAACGAGCAGTGATTTCCTTTTTATGACACATCTCGCGATGGCAGAGAGCATAAAAAGTGGACATAAAGGCCAAATTTTTGATGTCCAAGAAATTTTTTTTTTTGGTTGTGTGTGAGTGAAGAGGAAAAAGACGACAGAAAATTGGATATAAATGTAATTTACCGCCATGTTAAACTCAAATTACTCATGAATTCATCTCAACATTCATAATACTTTTTTCGGTGCAAACTCGTGCAAACAGCCGAAGAAATCTCGACTTCTTTTTATGATAAACAACATTGCAGTAAAAGTTTCCAGTTCCTTTTCCGTGCGGAGGCACACAACGCGAGAGGTTTTATACATGAAGAACAAGAGAGAAGATGAGATTATTGTAGAGGCCAAGAGTCAGAGAAAAATAGAAGCATTTCACTGTTGAGATGAAGATGAAATTCTTAAGATTGTAGAAGAGAAGACACGCAATTGTGACCAGAGAAATGGCATAAAATCTTACGGATTTCTTCACTTGGTGAGAGACATTGTAAAAATTGTAAATGTGGTGAATCTTGCCACTCTCGATATATTACTAAAAACAAAAAAATTCCTTTCCTACTTTTGTACAAAATGAAGAAAAAAAGAAGAGAAATTATTATTTATATGTACTCCGCGATATGAGCAATTAATTTATACATAATAATGATTATAGAGTTAAATTAAAAATGCAAATAAAGTCAGTTGCTGTAGCGGTGTAAGTTTGAAGAAGCGTGTAATGTATGGAAAAGTGTCTGATTAAAATACTCCAAATGGAAATATCAAATGAAAATTCATAGTTTCATCGCGTATTAACAACATATTAAGTCGCGATGCAGATGAAATCCCATCACAATTACTGTAATTATGCATCTCTTCCCCACATGTAAATACACATCATTTAGAACAACACCTGTAACTATGACGCCAATATTTTCCTCTTTCCGCCCAGAGAATTTCCTTTCGTATGTTTTTCTCCCTCTTCAGAACTGTATAAAACAATTAATATAAATACTCTCACTCAAATCTTCGTGTCTTTGTGTAATTTATAACAAGTGCGGAGAAAACGGCGAAAGAACTTTAGCAAAAGAAGAAAAAAGGCACACAATATGAATGACATAGCAATGAATTAGGAGAAATGTTCCATAAAATTTAATTGTTAATATCCACATAAGAATGTTGTGCTTTTGTGTATGTGTTTGTGATGTTTGAGTCAATGATTTAGCGCGCGCAAAGAAAGAGAATAAATTTGTAAATTAATATTGAGAAAAAAATGACGAAACAGTCTTTCATTTCCAAATTTGCTCACCATTTTTTCTTCCCCCCCCCCCTCAACTCTCAGCGTGGGTGGAGAGAGATCCACAGAAGAAAAGAAGAAGAAGGAAGGAAAAAAAAGCCCGCTTCGCATAAGAGAACTTCATAAGAAGGTCTGCGCGGTCCATTAAAATTAATTAAAAGATGGGATATCTCACCCCGTGTCGCAACTGCCGAGACATGAATTCCACTCACATGTCCATTGGGCGACACAACAGAGTCATTTTCGGCACGAAAAAGCAGACACGCTGATAAGACGCCTTCATGGTTGGCCTGAGATGAGCTGCTCAGGTGAGAAGAGCACCTTTTTGTCTCGAATGCTGGGCATTTGGAGATAAGGAAATTGGGCACTTCATGAGCACCGATCGTAAATCACCCGCAGCCGGCGAGATCAGCGTGAAATATTCCAATAAATTCGCTCTCCGCGATGGATTTTTGGGGGTTTTTGGTGCGCGGCTTTTCAAAATGGATTTGCAGTGAGAAAATTCAGCAAGAGATTGCAAAATCTCAGGTTGGCATTCCTCTCAACGCACACACAAACTCCACAAATTAACCTTCTGACGATCTCGCGCGGCGCCCAAAATAGCGCCACAACAGCAATAATTATCGGATAATGACAAAATGTGGGCCACACAGTATTTCTTTTCATCCACTGCACAGCATCTTCTTACAGTCTGTTTCCTTGGCAGGCCAGAAAGAGGACTGAAAAGTGACACTTTCATAGATAAAACACTTGGAGATCCTTTGAGAGAGATGCGCCTCGTCGTGTCCATTGACACTCTCTTGCCTAGGGAAGATATACAGCAAAGTGAGTGATTTAGATTAACGTTGAGAATGACATCATTTTACCCCACAAAAGACGACTCTTGGGCATCACTCCTAAATCACCCGACGAGTCTATAAATCACAAGTCACTTTTACTTTTTTCTGCTCCTCCACCTTTCCTTATTATTCCATTGAAGCGCGCGCCTCTGTTCCACTGACTCATGCCATGATCTCTCTAAAACTATCCACCCAGGCCTATTCCACATAGCTTCTCCTGGACAATATATATATATATTTCTGCGATTGTCGAGAGGCATTTTTTCATAACTCTCTGCGGCCGTTATGATTGTGTGGCTCACAAGCTGCCAAGAGTGTCTCAACATAAATCAATCACGCAATATATGGAACTCTTTCTTTCTCTCTCGTGGGGCAGATTAAACAACAATTTTTGACGAATTTATGCATAACAAACATGCTGAGATATGACGAGGAGGCAGAGAGACATACAAAGAAACATGCGCGCGCGCGCAACTGAAGGGAATCCACCAACGCGCGCGTCTCTCTCAATGAATTGTCAATTGTCCCAGGAGATACAAATAAGACAGAGAAAAGAAACCACAAGTAAACCATCCATGTGAAGAAATGCAAAAACCAACAATATTTAGACACACGCGATCAATCTCAAAAAGTTCATTAGTTATGCGCGAAAGGAGATTTGTGTGCTTGTGTCCTTCCTTTTTTGGGGGGGTTGGCGGCGCTGCACACGCACTAGAAAATGCTCATGATTTCGCACATAACAATTCCAAAGCCGCTCACATGAGCCCAGATTAAGACACACTCGTTTTTTTGCCCTCCTTCGCACAACTGTTGTTTGTACTCCCATTGACAATTTAAATAGTAAAGAAATTCAATAAATAACTCACGTGGCAAAGTGCAGAAATGGCAATGTTGAAAGGGAATTTTTCTATAACGCGCGCCATATTCTTCTCATGCCAAACCATGTGAAAAACCCTCTCGCAGAATCCTAAAACACACTTCTCATCGCACAATATCGTCGCGAGACACAATGGGAAATGGTTATGCAATGAAATAGTTTCAATTATCGCCTCTCATATAATATTTCTAATGGATAAATGGCGGGTGTTAGTGAATAATTACATTCAGCACAAAACCCTCACTTTGGTCTGCAATTGCGCCGCCACGAAAAGGGAGGCACAATTCGCAGAGCAACGAGGAAATTGAAGGTGTCCGAATTGATTTCTCAAATATGGATTATATCATATCTATTGGGAAAATTGCTAAAATGTCTGGACAGAGAGAGAGCCATTCAATTTCGACCAATTGAATTGTGCAGAAATTCACCTTTATTGAATATATCTAGTCAGGAAGAGGTCAACAAAAGGCTTTTTATGCAATTTTATGCACACAAAAGCATAAAAAGCATCGAGAAAGTGTTTCAATTTGACTGGAGATAAACTTTTCAGTTCATTTTGTGGTTGATCTGCAGACAAAATCTCTGCGATGTGTTAAGAGGATTACAAATTTCATACGTTCAACTGGCTTTGATTGATTGTTTGAATTCTGAAGTGACTAAATTCACTGACAATTGCAGACATTTTCTCAGAATCTTCGCACATTTTGTCACACTCAATCTCAAGAAATTAATTAACGATCATCGC